AAAAGAAATATAATAATTTAATGAAGCTAACAATTCTTTTTTTCCCCTTACTGTATATACTGTTGAGTTAGATATGGCTGGCTTAGGTGAAGATTGCCCCTCCTTCTCCAGTGGACAATCTGGTGGATGCAAACCTTGCGCCTTCGGACTGCAGCGCACCTTCTTGCCACCAGGCCACCAGAGCTGCCTGAAGCTAACAATTACTTTTAAGGAGCCCTGATAGTATAGTAATTAAGTTCTTGACTGCTAACCTAAAAGTCCACGAGGCACTCTGCAGGAGAAAAATGTAGCAGTTTGCTTCTGTAAAGATTTACAACACTGGATATCATTTTACTATGTCCCATAAAGTCATTAATAGCTGGAATAAATTTGATACTAAGGGTGTTTTTTTAAAGCTTTACTTTGAATCGCTTATGAGAAAAAATATACCAAAGAGATGTTACCATACAGATTAGAACTTCCTATTACTACAATTTTTTTTCATTTCCTGACAGTTAATGTTTCTTATTGTCACTGGGTGCAGTCAAGTCAGTTTCCATTCATACCAACATTATGTATTAAAAAAAAATAATAAATCCACACCACAACTAAACATGGCTCTGTCCTGTGCCATCCTCACAATTGTTACAATACATTAATGTCTACTCTCAGTAAAATCTCAGCACTTCATACTTCAATCATTTAGTTTATACGTAATTGAACAAATATTACAAGTAATATTAATGGATAGATACTTACTTTTCAGTAAAACCTTTACTTCTCCATTCTCTTTCTTGATCTCATTCATTACTTTATGCTTCTTTTTTTCTCTCTCTTTTTCTTTGTCTCGTTCTTTGATTTTATCTGGGGGGGGGAGGGAAGTATATGATTTAAAACTATTCTTACTTTTCTCCAAGAACTATGGTCCAATTTCTAAAATAAAAATATACCCCAAAAAGGCGGAATATTATTCTTTCAAAGGAATTAATAATTCTGTATTTTCTTTCCTATATCGAATATGGACTGTACGGAGCTCTAGCAGCACAGTGGTTTACATGCTGGTCTGATAATCACAAGGAAGCAGTGCATGTACAACCCACCTGCCTCCTCAGGACAAAGAAGAAACAACCTGTTCCCACTAGGACTTCCATCTTTGGAAATCCAATGGTGGGTCACCAAAAGTCAGAATCACCCTGACAACAGTGTATTTTAAAAACATGTAATACACATATCATAACTTATCAAAATTTAGTTTTTAGATTCCATTCTACTGATTATTCTTCACTTACTTTCTATTAACTTACATAATGGGCTCACTTTAAGCAATATAGTAAGCTACCATAGAAAAAACCTGAAGTTTGAAGTTGCATTTGTCTGATTTACAACACTGGAGAAATTAAAAGCTTGAACTCATAAAATAATTTTATTTCTTTATTAATTCTTCCTTTTTAAATCAAGTTCCTATGTATCTAGAAAGGGAAGTTGTAGGCTAGGAAGGAGGAATTTCATACTTAACTGTAAAAAAGCTTATGACTTTTAGCAAAGATATGACAAAATGATAAAGAAACTGTAAAATACTGAGTTACATAATAAGATTATATATGTGTACACAGCCCTATCTCTTAAAATTCCCATTTCCTTGCTATAAATACCACCTTAATTTTAGATAGAATCATCTAAAAATCAGATTACTATACAGATTAAGAAAAATGAAATGCAAAGATACTAATAGCTTCAAGACAATTTATGTTGCTGCTGTTGTTATACTGTTATGTGCCATCAAGTCACCTGCAACTCATAGCGACCATATACGCACATGAGCTCTGAAACCTGCCCCCTCCTGAGCCAATCTCATCATCTCCAATAGATCTAATGCCATTTCTCTAGTCACTAAGTCAATCCATCTCATTCTGGGTTTTCCTATCCTATGCTGTCCCTCTCCAAGGTCAAGTCCCTCGTGGCCATATGCCCAAAGAGAGATGGAGCCTTAAAATCCTTGCCTCCAGGGAACATCCTGGTTTCATCATTTCTTGGACAGACCTGTTTGTTCTCCAGGTAGTCCATGGTATGTTCAACACTCTTCTCCAGCACCACAACTCAAAGGCATCAATCCTTCTTCTGTCATCCTTAGTTACTGTCCAGTTTCCAGATGCACAGCAAGTAACTGTGAAGACTATGGCCTGGATCAGGGGCACCTTAGTCTCCAACTGACATCATTGCTCTTCAGTACGCTAAGAGATGTCACTGATGGCAGGTTTTCCTAGTGGAATTCAATTTTTTATTTCCTGACTGCTGGTGCCAGGTGTGTTGGTTGTGGAACTAAGCAAACTGAAGTTACCAACAATCTCAATCTCCCCTCTGTCCATGATGAAGCTAATTAGCCCAGTAGTGAGAACCTTTGTTTTCATATTGAGCTTCAACCCAGATTGAAGATTAGTCCTTGACCTTCTACAACAAATGCCTCATGTCCTCTTCAATTTCATTAAGCAAGGTTGTGTCACCTGCATAATGCAGGTTGTTGATGAGTCTTCCTCCAATCCTGATGCCACATTCATCCTCATAAAATCCAGACTCCTGAATGGTCTGTTCCACATATAGATTATGAAAGTATAGAGATAAGATGCATCCCTGACACATACCTTTCTTGATCCTGAATGATGCAGTGTTTCCCTGCTTTGTTCTAACTGCTGCTTCCTGGTCCAAGTACAGGTTTTGCATGAACCTAGTTAAATGTTCTGGGATTCCCCATTCTTCTCAAGGTTAACTACTTGTGATCTGCACAGTCAAATGCCTTTGCACAGTCAATGAAATACAGACAGACATTCCTCTGGTGCTCTCTGCTTTCAGCCAAGATCCATCTAATATTGACTATAAAGACCCTAGTGCCACAGCTTCTTGTAAACCCAGACTGAACATCTGGCAGTTCTCTGATGATGTATTGTTCCAGTTGTTTCTGGAAAAATGTTCAGCAGACAGCACAGGTCTAGACTAATTATAATTCTCAAAATATAATTATAGTGGTAATTTTTATAATGTAATGCTTAATAAGAATATACAAAAGCTTATAACTTATCTTTAAAAATAACAAAACCTCTTCATCCACTATGTGACACATTCTTAGTTTTTATTGGAATTTGAGTAAGCATTTACACAGTTAAATGGTTTTTTATCATTCATACACATTTTGTTTTATGACAGTAATTACAAAACATGCAGTGTAACGACACACTTCTCCCAGGGAGTCTTGTAATCCTCACATCTTAATCCCTTCTGCCAGCCTGAGCATTGTCCTTGGGCAAATATCACACATTTATTATGTGGTTGAGACTTCTAGAACTAATACTTGTCTTCAGGATAAGCCAGGGTGAGTTTTGTTCCAGGTTCAAAGGGTGACTAAGCGTTTTCACTCACTCGGGTCAGGATCTTGTACTGTGATCCCTTTTAAAGCAGTCAGAAGTAGTAATTGGAAACATCTAGTTCTTCTGGTCTCAGGCTCATGGCTGTTTTTCAGTGATAAAATGTTAGCCCTAACAGATGGAGATACTACTTCATCCTCATCAGGATGGACATCATCAAAACAATGAAAAAACAAGTGTTGGCAAGGATGCGAAAAAACTGGAATCCTCATTCACTGCTGATTAGAAAAGAGAGACTGGAGAAAATATTGCTTAAGTAATGTCAAGCTTCTGTTAAGACTCATTAAAAAATTTAACAAATGGAGAGTGGTGACTAGTAACACAACAAAGCGAATGTAACTCATGACAATGAATTGTTGTTATGTGCCGTCATTTGTGAGGCACAGTGACCCTATGAATCTATTCTGTGCTAATCTTATTGTCTCTGACATAACTAACCTCATTACCCCAGTCATTGTGCTGTCCCTCCACCCTTCCAAGCATAATGTCTCTCTTCAAGGACTGGACCTACCTTGTAACACGCCCAAAGTATGTAGGATGAAGCCTCAGAATCCTTGCCTCCAAGGATGAGCCTGGTTTCACCCTTTCCAGGACCAACAAGCTTGTTCTCCTGGCAGTCCATAGTATATTTAATACTCTTCTCCAGCACCACAGTTCAAAAGCATCAATTCTCTTTCTATCATCCCTAGTCCAGCTCTCTGATGCATAGCAAGTAACTGTGAAGAGTATGGCCTGGATCAGGTGTACCTTAGTCTCCAGACTGATGTAATTGCTCTTCAGTACTGTGAAAATGTCACTGACAGCAGACTTTCCCAATGCAATTTGTCTTTTGATTTCCTGACTACTGGTACCAAGAGTGTTGACTGTGGAGCCAAGTAATCTAAAGTTGTTAACAATCTCAATCTTTCTCCATCCTATCATGATGATAGGCTGCCAATAGGCCCAGTGATGAAAATCTTTGTTTTCTTGATGTTGAGCTTCAATCCATATTTAAGGCTGCAGTCTTTGACCTTCTGCAGCAAGATCTTCAGGTCCTCCTCAGTTTCATTAAGCAAGGTTGTGAACATAAAAATCAGTAAAATACTAAATGTTTTATTATATCACAATAAAAATGATGTCTAATAAATGAACAAGGGAACATGGAACAATGGAAAAAGCAGACTCAAATAAAATCACAACATTGTTTAAACCTAAAGAGTCAAAAGAACTGCAAGAATGGAAGGAAAAAGTAAAAAAGAATAAAAAGCTATGTCAACCTACAATAAATAATGCATTATGTATATAAAAAAATAAGCATTAGATAACTTTTATATGTTAAAGTTAAGATAGAGGAGATCTGATTAAAAATACTTTTTTAAATTTTTTTTTAATAATTTTAATGAACATTTACAGAGAATTTGGATTTCCATTCATTCATTGCTGCGCTTCTCTACCCGCCCAGCCCTCTCCCTCTGCCCCCCAGTTTGCTCCTCTTTCAAAAGTAAAAGAAACACTCCCTCCCTGGGACACAATCCCCCCGCACCCGGCCCCAAGTACATCCCACTATGCAACCTTAATTGTGGACTCTTGTGATAACCATAATACCCTATCATACATCGCTTTTAAATTATTCCGTCCCTCAGCTGTTTCAGTGCAGTATACACAATTTATCCAGTTTTTCTCACTCTTACCCCCACGCTGTTATCAGTCCCATTTTACAGCAGTGGCACCAAGCAATATTTTTCCTTTTGTGACTGAGATATTTCACTCAGCATAATGTCCTCCAGGCTCACCCATTTTGAATAATATTGAATGAGTTCCTTGTTTTTCAATGCAGCATAGTATTCCATTGTGTGAATATACCACAGCTTCTCTATTCATTCGTTTGTTGATAGGCACCTGGGTTGTTTCCTACTCCTTGCTATTGTGAACAGAGTTGCGATAAACATGGGTGTGCATATATTTGCCTGGATGTCAGTTATGGTCTTTTTGGGATATATTCCCAGTAATGGAATGGCTGGGTCAAATGGTATCTCTATTTGCAACTTTTTGAGAAAGCACCATACCGCCTTCCACAGTGGTTGCACCATTTTACATTCCCACCAACAGTGAATAAGGGTTCCAGTTTCTCCACAACCTCACCAGCCTTTGTTGCTTGCTGTTCTGTTAAATTTTGCTATTCTGACTGGGGTGAGATGATATCTCATAGTTGTTTTGATTTGCATCTCTCTTAGAGCTAGGGATTTTGAACATTTCTTCATGTGCTTGTTGGCCATCTTAAAAATACTTTTAAATGAAATATAAATGTTCTCAAACACATAGTCATATAGTGATTTAGTAATGCAGATAGGCAATCCTCAGATTACTAGTTCTGTTTTTCAGTACTAGTCCAAGCAGTTATTATGGTTCAAATATGTTGTTGTTTATTGTTACGTTCCATCAAGTCACCTGTGACTCACAACGACCCTA